GGTCACTAAGAGCCCACACTGCGTGGTTTGTGGCAGGCCCTTAAGTTGGAGAGGCTATGTCACAAGAAAAGCAAACTTTCTGACCCAGAACACAAAGACTGCTGGTTGCAGAGAACAGGGCAAATGATAAGCATATTAAAGATAAGGCTATGAGCAGGTAGAGAATCAAGATTTATAACAGTAGCTAACACTGCAAAATGGAACTAAATCCTGGTTTGATTTCTTCTGTCATTGATTCGTTTTCTTACTCCTTCAATATTTACTGGGCCCTTATTGTATGTCAGATCCTGTTCTAGACATTGGGGGTAGAGTAGTGAACAAGACAGACAAAATTATCCTGTCCTCGGAAAGCTTCCTTCTAGTGCTGAAGGACAAAAGAGTGATATACTGAGTGTGCAGGTGACAGTTAAGAGTGATGGAGGAGGGGGGTGTAAGTCACTTCCCATACAGGTGTAAATGTTTGGGTCCAAGTATTAAAGGTATCTCTTGAAAAGCATCATCTCCTCCCCAAAGAATCTGCAGTAATTACGTTAATGAGTCCCAGGGTAATCACAGCGTTCAGAAAAATGAACCAAGAAAGCTATGCACCAGAAACGTCCATATAAGAAGGGGCAAATTGAAGATCCAATAATAGCTACCACTTCTCCGGATGCTGCGATGCACTATTCTCAGCCCCTGATACACCAGTGTCTTCATTTCATCCTCACATTGAACTAATGAAAAGGGCAAGGCTAACATCATTTCAACAGATGGAGAAAAAGAAAAACAAAAACTGGAAGCTCAAAGCAATTAAGGAATTGGCCCAAGGTGACACGTGTGCTAAACGTGCTAAAGGATGATGTCGGGATTTGACTTGGAGCCCCCGCTGCTCTGACTTTCCATATCAATGTCCACTGGTGGCCCGGGGTTTTCGTTTACCAACATCAGTCTTCCTAATCCTATCCAAGATTTGTCTTTCAGTATTTTTACTGAGCCTTACAACCATACCAATCACCAAGAAAAGAACTGGAGGCCGGTTCCATATTTGCAGAGTTTTCTTTTCTGAAAATAACAAGAAAGGATGGCAGGGAAGACCCTCAAATTTAAATATCACTTCCTAGATCCAATTAGAAGTTATTTCTTCAAACACCTGACATTATAAACAAACACAAAGGAGTTCCAGTTTGATTCGAGACTAAATTAGCCTTACAGCAAATGAGAGTTCATGTAGCCCATTCCTTACCAGGTATAGACATCTCAAACCGAACACAACCCACATGGACCCTATTCCTTACCAGGTATAGACATCTCAAACCGAACACAACCCACATGGACCTGCATCTCCATTTTGGAGATGCAGGTCACAGTGGAGGAGTATGCTTGTGGGTACCCTCCTACCCACAAGCATACTCCTCCACTGTGACCTGCATCTCCAAAATGGACATGTCAACCACCCAGCCTCTCGGGCCTACAAACTCAAGAGCTCTCCAGGACCCCTCTCTTTCTCTCACCTCCTCATCCAGTCCATCAGCAATTTTTAGCCTCCCCATTCCAAATCGGTCCCTTTTCTCCATTTCCTTGCCCCACCCCCCACCCCTAACTTTAAGCCCCAGTATCTATTGCCTGGACCACCATGATGAGCTCCTAACTGATCTCTATTTCCCAGTCTGGCTCCTTGAAAATCTCATCTCCACAGAGAAGAAGCCAGAGAGAACTTTTGAAAGCATGAATCGAGACATGTCCTTGCTAAAATTCTTCTGAAACACAGTGTTAAATTCTTACCCCACCTACAAGGTGCTGTGCGATCTGGCATTGGCCTGTTGAACCTCAGGCTCTTGCGGTTCACTCTCCTCTGCTTCTCTCTATATAAAAACCAAAAGATGGCCAAGACCTGTTTGGCTCAATGGATAGAGCGTCGGCTTGGAGACTGAAAGGTCCCGGGTTCGATTCCGGTCAAGGGCATGTACCTTGGTTGCGGGCACATCCCCAGTAGGAGGTGTGCAGGAGGCAGTTGATCGATGTCTATCTCTCGTCGATGTTTCTAACTCTCTATCTCTCTCCCTTCCTCTCTGTACAAAATCAATAAAATATATTTAAGAAATAAAAATAAAAAATAAAAAAAAAAAATAAAAACCAAAAGATGGCTGAACAGATACTGTGAACTTCAGGGAAGGCAGTAAATTATTCCCATGAGTACTTGCCTTTATTTCATCATCATTTTAAAATCTTTTTTAAAACTTCATAGCACCTGTTACTTTCTGAAATTTTCTGTTCAGTTGTTTAGATGCACTCTATAACACCACTCTGTAGTCTGCACTATGCTATTATCTCTGAAGTACTTACTTTAAATCCGTATAATGATAAATTATAGAAACTCTTACATGTGCATGTTCCCCGTGCTCTGATTATTTCACACTCTCTCAGCCAATGAATGTGCGGCCCGTGTCCTGCAGGTGCTCTTCTGTGTTGAGTGTGTACGACAATATGACGTTTTCTCTCCTGTGACCTCCCCTCTGTGTTATTTATTTTAAGTTCTGGCTCAAACCGCCTTCCTGAGGTCATGGGTGACGGGACTGAGGGTGCTACAAGCAAATTAAGGCAGAATATGAAATTGAACATTAACATGTAAGCTTTACAGCAACTTGAGGACATCAGAGTACAAACTGCGGGTGGGTGACTGGTGTGAAGGGCATTATCCAAGCATGGAAGTCTCGCCAAGAACTTGGTGGCTAGAGATTGTCAGGAACTGCAGGCAATTTGGAAAGAACTATCAAAGGAAGATTCCGTGAGGCCCAAAAGTGCAGGTAACGCAAATGAGTTAGCCCACGAATTTGCACCAAGGCATTCATTCCCCTGGGCTAGGAAAGAGTGGGCTCCCTCTACCTTTTGATTCTGCGTCTCCTCCACTACCTCCTGAGAAGATGCCCATGTGTTTTGTTCACTGGAGTACTCCAGCTCCTAGAATAGTGCCTGGCACGAAGTAGATGCTCAATAAAATAGTCTCTAAACAAATAAATTCGTGAACAGAAAAATGTATTTTCTAGGTTTTCTCTCTACCCTCCTCTCTCTTCCTTTTCACAGACCCAGCTCTGCCTTTATAAGACCCCTTGAGAAGGCCAAAGTGTGCAATCACAGAGCCATCATAAATCTCCTCCACATCACTAATGGACCCTCAGCCACTATTCGGATATGGGAAGCATAGCCCCAACAGCAAGACATTAACCATTAGAAAGAGACGATGCTTTTGGAGTCTGTGGTAGACTAGAAAACAGTGAGTCTATTGTGGTTAGAATAATGAACATTGGCAGGTAGCTATAAAACAAACTCAAGATGAGACCTCAGTAGTGTACACAGTATATTTCACCTACACAGTCTGATTCGTGTAGGAATTATTATTATTAATTTTACTCCTTCTCAACCTTGCCTCTATCTAAATACCCCAGTGGATTTTAAATTATACAAAAGCATGAGCTACTCCAATTCATCCTAAATCCAATCCAAAAATAAATTGTTTAACACACATTGCAGGTAAAATATAGTCCCCAAGTAAAATAACTGCAATCCAGCGTAAAAATTCTGTTGGCTTCATAAGCTACATGAAAAACAAAAAACAAAAACCATTATACTAACTTTCAAGAATTGAGAGGGAAAAGGGAGCAGCAAGAGCAGTTACTGGTGCTATTTTGTGACATAAAAAGAATTAAACGTTAATGTGCAGCTTCCACAACATATCAGATCTCCAAGCTCGGGGAAAGTTCTCTGTCTATAGCATCAATGTGGAAACAACTCAGTTTCCAAATTCAAGGGGCCCCCTTTCTCCTAGTTGCATTGCATGTAAATGACTGCCTGATAAGTCAGCTGGAAGCAATCTTAGCTTTTGCACACCATGGACAGGGCGAGTTGACCAAGCAATCTAATCTAACAGGCAAAGAGCTGGAGCTCCCAGGGTGTGGTTCACATTTCACAAGCATCCCTAAGGGCCCCAGGTCCTGAGATCCAAGGGCGATTAGAGGCAGGACAAAAGACCTCATCCACAACCTCTCCAAAAAGCCCGGTTCTCTGGGCTCTGCCACGCGTATTTGCCTCCCGCTTGTTTTGTGAAACAATGTAAACGGCGGCGTCCCATCTGCTCCTTTCAAGTCTCAACACCTCAAGTGTGCTGGGAGCCCCTTCCCTCTCACATCCCCAAGCCGACACGTGTCCACAGTAGTCTTCTCAGCTGTGAGGGCAGCCAGCAGGGAACTTCCAAATGAATTTAATGGGCAATGTTATTATTATTTAGTGAATTAAAATAGCAAACTGCCCGTTCCGAAAGGAGAGAAAGGTTTACTTATAAAAACAAACAAAAACAAAACAAAACAAAACAAAACAAAAAAACTAAACTTGCCTTGCAGAGATTGGAGGTCCCAAGCCCCCACCCACTGGGCAGAGAGTAGCACGCGCTGGAAGGCACTGAGGACAAGCAGCAGGTTTTTGGTGGTGGTGATGGTGATGGTGGTGGTGGTGGTGGTTTTAAACACTGAAGTTTTAAAATGAACTAAGTTATGGAGAGGATTGCTGTGACCGGACCAGATGCACTAACGCTTTTCATTCGGGCATAAAGCACGTCCCCTCTGCCTTCTTTCTTCAGCCGTTCCTTCAGGAGGGCAGGCAACCGCTAGCTAGCGGGCAGGGCCCGGGACCCGCGCGCTCCGGGACCCGCGCGCTCCGGTCCCCGCAGGTGCCAGCCAGCACCCAGGAAAACCCGGGGTGCCCTGCCCAAGCCGGGCACCCCGGGTGTCCAGGGCTGTACCTCGGTGGCAGGTACAGCCCTGGGCACCCCACCTGGAAAGGAGCAGCGGTGCAGGGAGAGCACCCGCGTGGGGACAGCACCCGCTCGCTGGTGGCACAATCGCGCGCGCACAGGCTTATACACACACACACACACACACACACAGCGGCGCGCTGTGGAGAGAGGAGGAGAGAGGAGGGGAAGGGAGGGGAGGGGAGGGGAGGGAGGGCGCGGGCGGCGGGCCCCGTACCTGTTCTGCCAGCCCTGGAGGAGGTTGGTGTACTTGCTGAGCACGCCCTCGAGCGCCGGCTCCCTCCGGCGGCCGCCGTCTCCCCCGGACGGGCTGGCGGCCACCGAGCCCGGGCTGCTGCGGCTGCCCCCGCCGCCGCCGAGCCCGGCCACCGCCGCGGAGCGGCCCGAGATGCCCCGGCCCGCCAGCGAGCAGGAGGGCGAGGAGCCCGCCGAGGTGGCGCGGCTGCTGCTGCGGCTGCTGCTGTGGCTGCCCCCGCCGCCGCCGCCGTCCGCGCCCTGGGCCGCCCTCTCCATGGCCCGTGCGCCCCGGAGCCCGGTGCCCGCCCGCCCGCCCGCCCGCCGGGGCTCCTGCCGCGGTGACCGCGGCGCCGCTGCTCCGGCTCCGGGCGCCCGGGCCGCGCGTGGCCGCTCCGGGTTCCGGGGAAAAGCCTGACTCACACGGGAGGGAGAGAGAGAAGGAGGCGGCGGAGGAAGAACTGGGAAGGAAGCCAAACGGGGCTGGATGCAGCTGTGGCCGCCCCTCCTCCCGCCGCGGCCCCGGCCCCGGCCCCTCCCTCCGCACTAGTTTCCCGGGCAAGTTCGGAGCGGGCGGCCGGTTAGGCGAGCCCTCCTCCGGCTCCTCCGGCTCTTCCTTGGGGTCCCGGGGGTCGGTCGGGCCCAGGAGCTGGGGGGCAGTCCCGGGCGCCGATCCACGGGGCAGACACGCCCCGTCACCCCTGGCGCTCCTCGTGTCGCCCCCTCCCGGATCCAAAGGGGCGAACGGGAATCTCTGCGCGTCACTACCCCACCCCCAACCCACCCGGGCGGGGGGACCTGGAGGGAGTGGCGGCCCCACCCACCCGGTCCACCCGGATATGGACCAGCCGGGCCTAATCCAGATTCACTCTCCCGTCTTCCGCGCCAAACCTGGGCCGGACGCAGGTACACAGTAACTAGAAATGAGCATCGCAGGTGGAGCTAAACAACAGGGCCCAAGGTCCTCCAGGATCCCCGGCGTGAACAGTGAGGGGGTGTGGGGGGAGTGTGGGAAGGGGGGGTTAATCCTCACAGGTAAGCTATCCTGGGGCATTTTCACGCAGTGGAGCTAAATGGAGTAAGGTGAGAAAACTCAAGATTCCTGCAAATACACCCCCCCACACACACATTGAATGGCCTAGCCACTTTACTTGCACCCTAATCCCCACCCTGATGGCCACACGTAAGCCTGGTACATCAGCACCTACACACGTTATACAATACCAAGCAGCTGGGAGCCAGAGGCTTTAAAACGGGTAAGGCTGCCCTGAAATCGACAGATGTTTACCCAGCGAAGCATTCTGTGTCCACTGTCATTTCTGCCCCATCCCCACTGCAACTAAGTTTCCCAACTTAAAATTGTTGCTCTTTGGCAAACGTAGGTGGGTTGCACTCTCTCCAACCCACTAATAATTTTTGTGAGTATAAATATCCATTGCAATCTGGAAGTTTCTAAAATTACCTAGAAAATAGCTTTGAGGAGCTCAGACACGCAAGATGACAAAAAACAAAGGGTGCTGTTCAAAGGATCTACAAACCCATAAAGTAATATAAATAATTCAGCAGTTTGAAAAATCACGACAGGGAATAGAGTCAGCTCTCCTGGGAATAATTCCCAAGCCTAATCCCTTTCTAGCTTCAACTCCTTCCAGGAAACGTTCCGAGATGGCTTTGCTCCAGAAATGTTTGTGGAGAAACTTCTGGGGCTGATGAGAAGTGGCTGTGCCCCTGAATAAATTACAGTTCTAGGTGCCTACACACTATAGAAAAGAAAAGTTTACCCCAAAAGATTGCATGGTAGGAAGGACCAACTTTGAAACTGGGCAGAGCTGAGTTCAAATCGTTGCCCTTCGTTTTCTCATCTGCAAAAGGAGACCCCTGATACTGCTGGCTGTGGTGAATTATGTGAGAATGTTTATTTGCTCAAAATATTCACTGCCTCTGCCCTAGCCGGTGTGGCTAGGTTGGCTGAGCATCATCCAAAGGTCTCTGGTTCAATTCTGGTCAGGGCACCTATCCAGGTTTCAGGTTCCAGGTTCTATCCCCAGCTGGGGTACATACGGGAGGCAACCCGAACACTGTTTCTCTCTCAATCAGTGTTCCTCTCTCTCCCTCTCCCTTCCTCTCTCCCTAAAATTAATAAAAACATATACTAAAAACAAAACAAAAACAAAAAAAGTACCACTCTTCCTATGGAAGAAGTATCTCCCTCCACACTGACCTAGGGTTTGGTCATGGGATTGCTTTGGCCAGTGGAATGTGAACAGAGGTATCGTGTTTCCCCACAAATAAGACATCCTCCGAAAATAAGACCAACTTTCAGGTTTCCTTCTGAGTGAACTATAAGGCATCCCTCGAAAATAAGGCTCCCCGAGGCTAAACATGAGAGATTTGGTCCACGGATTCTGAAAGAAATGGAGTCACAAGAAATTCATCAGGAAATTCAGGAATTGGATTGTTATGATGATGTGCCAGAAGATGATGACAAGATTGTCACTGAATAAATAAGTAAATTCTTGATACTGTAGGATTCACAGTTTGGTTTGTGTTGACAACTACTGTACTACCATACTGTATACAGGTAATAAATTTCCTTTATTTTCATTTAACAACAAATGTGTACCATATTCTTCTCCATGGAAAAATAAGACATCCCCTGAAAATAAGACCTAGCACATCTTTGGGAGCAAAAATTTAATATAAAACACTGTCTTGTTTTTGGGAAAACAGGGTAGTATTGGCCACTTCCACACATAAGTTTTAAGAGCCATCCTGTGGTCCCTGCATCTTTCTTTTCTCCTTCTGCAAGGTGAGCAGCATGTCCCAGATCATTTGTGTCCTGGAGTGAGAAGACACGTGGAATACGGCAGAGCCCAAGCCAATCGGCGTGAGCCATGTCACATGTGCAAAATGTTTGTTGTAAGCCACTTGGGTTTCAGGAATCATTTTATACCACAGAACAGCTTTGTCGAAACCAACTTATACACCAATTAGCATGTGCTTGCTCATGAAGTCCTTCGCTGACATGATGACCGAGGAGGGGAACTGTAGGTGTCACTTATAATGTGCCCCAACAGCTTGCCTTCTGATGGGAGACTGCTCCCTCCTGCTAAAGAGGCAGTGACATCATCTTATTTCCTACTATCCAACCTCTACCACCATTATCCATCCCACCCCGCCAATCTGTGGCCACATGAGCTAGCACTCACTTTGGACTAAATAAAATATGGAAACCCTTGAGACAGTCCAGGAGAAGGGGGGAGGAGCTCAGCTGAAAAGAGTTATCAAGTCTGGCATCTCAGGCTGTTCAGGCTGCTCTAACAAAATACCGGTAGTTTATAAACAATAGAAATGCATTACTCACAGTTCTGGAGGCTGGAAGTCGGAGATCGGGGTGCCAGCTTGGTCAGGTCCTGGTGAGAGCCCTCTTCAGGGTCTCACACTTCTCACTGTATCTGCACATGACAGAAGGGAGTAGGGAGCCCTGTGGGGATCCTTTTATAAAAGCACAGGTCCCTTGTTGCCCATACACACACACACACACACACACACACACACACACACACACACACACACAGTAGCTGTTGTCTGTGTCCATGGGATATGCATATAAGTTCTTTGGTTAATCTCTTCCCCGTCAGAGATCTGTCAGTCTGTTCCATGCATCCATGCTTGCCTCTGGATTTAATTTGTCAGTTTATTTTGTTCATTAGATTCCACATATGAATGAGATCATGTGATACTTGTCTTTCTCTGACTGGCTTATTTCACTTAGTGTAATGGTCTCCAAGTCCATTCATGCTGTTGCAAAGAGTAAGAGATCCTTCTTTTTGACAGCTGCATAGTATTCCAATTATGTAAACGTACCACAGCTTTTTTTATCCACTCATGTACTGACGGCACTTGGGCTGTTTCCAGATCTTAGCTACTGTAAATAACACTGCTCTGAATATAGGGTTGCATATATTCTTTCTGGTTGGTGTTTCAGGCTTCTTAGGATATATTCACGAAAGTGGGATCTCTGGGTCAAATGGCATTTCTTTTTTTAATGTTTTAAGAGAACTCCATACTGTTCTCCACAGTGGCTGCAGCGGTCTGCATTCCCACCAGCAGTGCACTGGGGTTTCCTTTTCTCCGTATCTCTGTCAGCATTTGTTGTTTGTTGATTTATTGACAGTAGTAATTCTGGAAGGTATGAGGTGAGACCACACTGTAGTTTTAATGTGTATATCTCTCATTATTAGTGACATTGATCATTTTTTCATATGTCTATTGGCTATCTGTAGGGGACATCTGTAATACTGTCACCAATAAAAAATAAACTTAAAAAAGAAAAGAATACTGATCCCCTTCATGAGGGCTCCACCCTCGTGACCTAAGCACGCACCAAAGGCCCTACCTCCGGACACCATCACATTGGGCATTAGGATCTCCACGTATGGACTTTGGGGCGGGGAGGGGCTTATCAGACCATACACGCCAGAATAGATCACGAATAAGACATCTGTGTGGGATCAGAAACGGCCGAGGAAGTAAGTCAGGAGCAAGAGGTAGGTGGAAAGAGAAACTCTGACAGCCCTAGCTTACCCCTTATCTTGTCATATTTCTACCCAACAAAATCCAAGAGAATTTGCATCTTCCTGGGAAATCAAGAACTAAGCAAAAGACTTATCTTTAATCTGTTAGGACTGCTGTTAATAGAAAACCACAGATTGGATGGCTTATACCAAACACAATTTCACCCTGGCCAGTTTGGCTCAGTGAGTAGAGCGTAAGCCTGAGGACTGAAGGGTCCCAGGTTTGAGTCCAGTCAAGGACATGTACCTTGGATGCCCGCTTGATTCCTGGCCCTAGTTGGGGTGAGTGCGGGAGGCAGGCAATCGATGAGTCTGTTTCACATTGACGTTTCTCTTGGTACGTCTCTCCCCTTCTCTTCCACAATCTCTAAAAATAAATGGGGAAAAAAACCCTCAGGTGAGGATTAACAACAACAAGGAAAAGAAACTTTGACAACGTTCAGAGACCTTGACGACCTCAAATCCCTTGCCGCAGGAAACCACTTAAGCTGTGCTTCCACTGGCTCTTAAGCAGAAAATGGAATGACGTTGATGGGAAATAAACAGCTTCTAAAAACGAACAAATAGTGCTGGAACAATTGAATATTTATATGCAAAAAAAAATTTTTTTTTTAGTTTTTAAAAATTTATTTAAGAATTTATAAATAAATTTTTACACTTTACACAAAAATTACCTCAAAAGGGACCAAAAACTAAAATGTG